TTAATATTAAATTTATTAGAATATATGTAGCTATTCCATATATATAAGATAGTATTCCTATTAATCTACTTCTGGTATTACCATTTCTCAATGTAAGAAAATGTGTTTTTATTTATTGCTATTGTTGGACATGTGGAAGGCCATTCACATTAAATTTCATTCGGATGGTTTGATTTTTAACTATATCTTGTAGTCGGCAGTGTATAGCACATGTTATAAGCCGGTTAAATTTGAATATGAAAAAAGCAAAGGATTACAACATGAAAGATAAATAGTGGGTGTCTGGTGTCTGCCATGTAAAAACCTAGATTCATAATATGATCAAGAGCTAATAATACCTTATTATTTAGGTATTATTAGCTCTTGATATGATGGAAATGATAGGGTAATGTGATTTCCACTTATGTTGATTTAAAACTTGAATTCAGCATCAATGTGGTATTGAAATGCCATGTGTTACTTTATGAAATGGGCAGTTTAGCTAAAATATTAAACTGGTGATCGTGTCTGTGAGACACAATTAAAAATTTGTTTCAAATATAGCTAAGGTGTTGAGCACGTGTGTCATTGTGTCTTAAATATGGTCCTGTTACTAGTGCCTATAATATTTCCCTATTTATCTGCCTTATTTAACTTAAATGTGATACAGGAGATCCAATGGCAGAGTTTCAAGCGTAGAAATAGTATTTTCATTTGATGTAAATTTTCATTATGTTATTACATATATTTTTTGACCCATTATGTTACACAATTAACTAATTTATTTTACCGTGGGTGCAATTTTGGATTTAGCCACATTATATATCTGATGTCATCCTGATCTTTATGAATAATTACAAAATTTTGACCTCACACATTGTTTTCATTGTATGCAGGGCCGTACGCAGCAGGGGGGCAGCAGGGGCAGTTGCCCCCCCCCCTGGAGATTTTCAGAGTATGCCTTTCAATGGGACAAATACTGTACACTTTTAGAAATAAAATAAAAATGTGACAAAAGGTTATCTTAAATCATCAAAGAAATATTACTTTAAATAAAGAAACGTGAAATTGCGAAACTTTAGGGCACAGGGGGCATGGGGAGTACCTTTGCCCCCCTACAGAAGATTTCCTGCGTACGGCCTTGATTGTATGCAATATCGAATATATATCGAATATTATACATAGATAATATGCATAGATAGAATTTATGTGTAAGTAATGTAGTAGTATGAAATTTAATCACACTGCGTCACACCGCAACATTTTATTTTCGTAGAGATAGAATAAAAAAAAGTATATATAGGCCTAGCTTTGATTTTCATATTGTATTATAATTATATATAATATAGTAACAGCTAGTACTGCAGTGGAGTCGACCTGCCATGAGGCTGGGATAAGATAGAGATACATATATATATAATATATAATATGAAAATCACAGCCCGCATATATGTATATATAGGCGCACACGTACGCGTAGCTGTGATTTTACACACCCACTCGGCTTGTTGATGTTCTGTACACAACAGCGCACAACAGCAGTGTCATAAATGCGGGTGAAGTCAGCCGCGTGCATTCTAAATATATCGGCCATCTGTGGCAAGGTGAGGTAACACCAGAACGGCGACTGTCTGCCTGGGAAAGGCTCCCTCCCGTCGCACGTAGAGACCTCAGTCTATATTACACGTGTGTCATATGCGGTTGCGAATCCGATGTTGTGCATCTTAGGATGGGTGCGTCTTAGCAGTGAATAAATTTGCTCCGCATTTGCGAATCGACCCGTGACCTGCGAAACGTGTTATTATGCAAACACTGACTCGGAATTATCAGGTCAGAACAGGTGAATGGACAAAGAAAGTACTTTTCGATCCTATCTCACATCGACAGCTGTGACGTCGCTATCACGTGAAGCGCATATCTCATATACATATCGCATATCTCATATACTTCTGGTTCGTGGCATTATATGTGTAGTTATTATACTCACGTACTAAGGGAAAACAGGTGGAAATATCAATCTGTTGATCTCCCTAACTATCTACCTACCTGCCTGTCCATTAAATGTACGCAACCATCCATTGATTCATCAATCGCTCCATCCATCCACTCACCCATCCATCCGTACGATATTCCGTATATCTCCAACACGGTATGATGAATACTGTCATGGAGCAATAATGAACAATATCCAAACTTGCGTGAAACATTCCATCGTCCTCTAACTCCCGCCCGTCACGTGTCAACAAACGCGAAGCATTACGTAAGGGATCACCGCTAATCCATTGGCTAGTATTGTCCAGAACGGCAGCAGAGTAATCATCACAGAACCTATGCTATGTATATTGCCGATGGAATACACGTTAATAGGCTCTCGTCCACAAATAACACGCGTAAATGCAAATCAGACGTAATATCAATGTTTGCAGGTAGTTCACTGTAGAGCCATCACTGCCAATAGGTTCGGCATGCCAGGGGCCGGTTTCACGAAGCGTGATTAACTTTAATCACGATTCAATACTTAAGTACGCTTCGATAAACCGGCCCCAGGTGTTTATTCCAGTCCTCGCCTCACCGAGCCACGTGACGATCTGGCTTCTGTCTGGTTGATTTCTCATTTGTTGGCAGGATTATTAAAGTGAAAGATAATTAAACCGCACACAGTAAAATCCTGTACGTATCTACTGCATTGTTATCCATAACTTACGTTAAAACGTTAAACAAAATTGTTTTTAAAATTAACAAAATTAAAACCCACATTGAACTTCCGGGAACCAATGAAGGTCGCATATCAATTTCCACCAATTGATGCAAAAACGCGAAAGGAGTTCGCGAACAAACAAACGAATGTCAAATTATAGCATATTTATTTTTTTCTGAATTATAATAGTAATTAATCCAATACGACCGTGCAAGCGCTTGTACACCGAATTGCACTGGTATCGTAGCACTCACGACGCCACATATTGCCAGGGGTAAATAATATAGGAATTCTCTCCCTGTATGTACTTCTAATATTACACACCGGTTATTCACCGACAACAATCTGCTTATTACATACGTATGTATGTATAACGCTATTACTACATCAAACAATGATGTGACAAATTCACATATATACATCAATTATTGCCAGTGAAGCATGAATACGTTCTACTGAGTTGAGATAACTATAATTATACTAATTATATATAATAAATATCTCATGTATTATGAATAATTAGCTACGATTTATTCATGTAACCGGTAACAATATGTATGTACATTGTACAATACTATTATATAACATAAAAACATAGATGATTATAATTTACAAGTTGGTAAAAATTAAGTACTTACGTCTAGCGCACTTAATTAACACGTTAGAAATTAGGAGCGACTCCCAACGCCATGATGAAATTATGTATATATATATATATATATAGGCATAGGCCTACTATTTTAAATAAACATAAATTTATGTATCCTGTTTTTACACCTGCATATATGTTTATACGTGTGTGGTTACATAACGTTCATGCTACTATATAAGGTAAAATACGGAGCAAGTTAGTACGCGCTACCCTCATGCTTAACTAACTGCTAGCAAGGGGCCGATATACGCTGTGACAATATGTCATACTTTAGGTGCAAGTCATTGACTTATTTGATACGTTCAGTGGTTCTCACGACGCCCATCTGAAAATACACAAAAAATCGCCCACGTTAACGACATTTAATCATAACATCACATTAAAATGCAATCCGACGGTATTAACTCAACACATGAAAGACGCTTACGTTTGACCGTCGGAGAAAAGATAGCGATGACGTAAACCCCGGCGCGCGCAAACAATGGTATCAGAGAAGAGCATTCAGCACCCGTCTTAATGCTAGCCTGATAGCAGCGCCGTCTCGAGGTCGGCAGAAGGAATATTTTTTTAAGTTTCAGCGAGCTACACCATCTTTAATAACAGGTTTCTGGGCGTGGGGCGGTTTATATCGACAGTGCGCGTGCATTCCGCGGCAAGACAGTAACGTCTCACACACTCGAGTGATCCTCGTTCTACAGATATACCCAGAGTGACGTTTGTAAAACCGGTTTCTGTCCGTCCACACGCAGTAACCTGCCCACGGCAAACTCAACTTTTCGACGTCAGCAAATAAAATTTCAAGCTCGCGCGTGCGCAATTACATGCAAATCGCACGTCACATGCGGTAAAGGGCGGCCGAGATACAGATGTTCAACGTGCTCCCGCCCACCCCCGTCACCACGCGCCCACACACACGAAACAGAGAAACAGAGAGAGAGGGGGGAGGACGAGGTGAGCGACGGACAGAGGAGGACGAGAACCGAGAAAAAGAAAAAGCCAGGACGAGAGACGAAGAAAGAGAAGAAGAAAAGAAAGACGGAGGAGGAAGGAGCAAGAGAGACCAACGAGAAGATGAGAGAACGAGAGGAAAAAGAGAGGACGAGGGACGGAGCAGAGAGTAGAGAAACGACCGGAGAGAAGAGAGAGGAGAGAGAGAAGAGACCTCCGGAGAGAGAGAGAGAGAGAGAGAAGGAGGGGAAGGAAGAGACGAGAAAGAGAGAAGAGGGCGGTGACGAGAGAGAGGGGAGAGAGAGACGAAGAGAGAAGAAGAGAGAGAGAAGGAGAGGGAGAGAGCAAGACGGGAGATGAGGAAGTAGAGGAGAGCAAAGAGAGGAGAGTACAGACAGGGAGAGGACAGACTAGACAGATAGAGACGAGAAAGAGAGAGAGAGAGAGAGAGAGAGAGAGAGAGAGAGAGAGAGAGAGAGGAGAGAGATGGATAACCTACCGTCTGCGGGCTTGGCGTGCAACTGGAGTTGATACAACTCATCAGCAGCATCCTCGTATTGCATGATGATGTCTGGTCTCTGCTGCTGCTGCTGTTGCTGCTGCTGCTGCTGTTGCTGCTGCTGCTCGCTCAGCAGTTCATCTAGCTCGTCCAGGCTGTCGTCGCTCATGTAGACGGACGTGTCCGACGAGCAGAGGTGGTGCAGCGGCTCGTCAAAGTAGTTCGGCAGCTCGGGCGAGCCGACGTCGTGAGTATCGGTGGGACTCGACGCGCTGTCGTCGCTGAGGTACGCGTACGCAAACTCCGCGAGCGACGGCGAGCAGCGGCCGCGCTTGCAGGGGGCGCCGCGGTCGTGCGGCGGCGACGGCGAGAAGTCGGAGAGTGAGGCGACGTCGTCGCATGCGTCGCGCCACCGCCCGGCCGCGAACACGTCTTCGTCGGCGCGCACGAGGGCGCCCTCTTGCGGCGGCTTGGCGCAGTCGCCGAGCGCCGATTGCAGCTTCAGGATGCTGCCGAGTAGACCCTCCTCCTCGGCGGGGTAGCACTCCCTGGCGAGCGGCTCGGTCACGGCGACGTCGGCGCCACTGCACGGCTGCTTGCTCAGCCGCTGCGCCTCCTTGCTGACGAGCCAGGACCGCAGCTCGGCGATCACCTCAGTAGAGCACGACCTCCTGACACCGCCGCCGCCGCTGCCCACAATGTCAACGACGTCAACGTCGCCCTCGATGACGCTCTGCACGTCCGTGAAGAGGGCGTCCAGCTCGCACGCGGCGGGCTTCCCGGCAGCGGCGCCCCCTGGCGGCGGGTACGAGAACGCGTACGGCGAGTGCGGCGGCGACATGTCCGGCGTGAGGATGTCCGGCACGAGCACGGTGTCGACGGTGGCGACGTGCAGCGGCAGCGCGAGCGACTCGAGCGAGCGCGGCGAAGGCAGCGGCGTTGGCGGACGTGCGTACAGCTCGGCGAAGCCGTCGCCGAGCGTCGCCAGCGCCGCCTCGCCGCGCGGGACAACCGTCGGCGCGGCGACGACGTCGCACGACAGCAGCAGCGCGCTCCAGCCGGCGACGGGGAGCGGCGGCGGCGCGCGCTTCGACGAGCCGAGGTTGTCGTCATCGGGGTCGAGGCGAGCGACCTTGCGCGCGTCAGGGTCGGGCGTGGCGCCGCAGCGTCGCTTCTTGGCGCGCTGCTCCCGGTGCGGGATCAGCTCGTCGAGCGCGCGGTCCAGCAGCTCTATGTCTACCGTCGGCTCGTCCAGCGCCGACAGCAGACTCGCGTTCGTCTCTCCCCCGCCGCCGCCGGATCTTTTCACGTCGGCTGGCGCCACCTGCTTCCGACCGCCGATGACTAGCGCGTGAAGCAGGCCAATGTCGTCGTCGAAGAGCATCCCCGACGGCGACGGCTGCTTCGGCGGAAGATTCAGCGGCGCGGGCGCGCTCGCGACGTTGCAGGGCAACGGTCGCGCCGGCTCGCCGTGAGAGGGCGCTACCGGCACGAGTTGCGACATGGCGTCCGGGGCGACGTAGCTGGTCGGCGGAGATGCGGCGGCGGACTGCCAGAAGCTGGGGTGCACCGGCGCGGGACGCACGCCCGCCTGCACCACGGTCGGCTGCGACGCTGTCGCGTAAATCCACTTTTGCCTTCGAAGGTGACCCGCCTCTTCGTCACTGCAAGGCGACGTACGGGGTGATGAGTGAGTGCATGAATAGCAATAATAAGAATGTGCGCGGAAGGTAAGATGGCCACAGCGGCGAGCGCTCAGGAGGGCGACGCGAATATCAAAAGTGAAATAAACAGCGTTGGCTGGAATTTAAATTCTTCTCGCTAGAGGTTTACCGTCGGTTTAAAATTTGAAGGTGTCATTTGATTGATCTCTGTCCGACAGCCACAGCGCCCTCGGATATTGCTTTTTGTATGTGGAACCAGTTTTTGAATGTGTTTGTCACGCGTACACGTCACAGTGTCGACTCAACAACACTTCATTCTAAATCTTCTTTGCTGTTTTTTAGAACGGCCTATCACGATGCTGATTGGCTGGCCTACCTGTCAATCACGCATGACAGCTAGGTAAAATCTGCGCACGTCAGTTGACGTAATGTCATCAGGAGGTGCGTAACATAGAGTAATACAGAGATTCTCTAATCATGGCACTATTCTTAACTTAACTTACATTATTCACTACTGCTGGATTTACATACGCGCGCGCGGCTCAGCTCACCTGATAACTTGATTGGCGATCATGATGACGGGTTCTAGACTGGGAACGATCATCGTGCTCTTCTTCAGCTGAAGGCACATGTGAACCCACGTCATGCCATAGCGTGTTTGAACACGCGCCAGGCAGGTGACACCACTGTCCTCGTCTGTGGCCAAGACTGAAAGAGCCCAAACACGCGAAGATGACGTGACTGCGAACAAACTCTGCTTACGACCACAGAAAGAAAAAAATAGATAGACGGTAGATGTATAGATAGACTATAAACATATACATCAACTGCAGATGTATAGATAGACTGTATGTGTATAGATAGACTATAGACATATAGATAAACTGTAGAAGTGTAGTTAGACTGTAGATGCACAAACAAACTGTAAAAGGCAAAGTGGAATACTAAAGGTCCACGGGTCGCGACAACCCAAAGCACATCAGTTGCATATGTAGCCTATATCATAGTACATTAAATAAATAAATTAATCAATAAATATATATAATTATATGTATATGTATATATATATATATATATACAGAGAGAGAGAGAGAGAGAGAGAGAGAGAGAGAGAGAGAGAGAGAGAGAGAGAGAGAGAGAGAGAGAGAGAGAGAGAGAGAGAGAGAGAGAGAGAGAGAGAGA